TCGTGTTTCAGACGGTTCTAAGGCCACTCGGTGGTCAAGCAAAATGGGACAAAGCGCCAGCAGCTGTGCCTCAGTTCCTGCGTCTCGGGAATCGCCTTCCTCCCTACACGGGCACCCCTCACACCATCCCACCTGCTGGGCTCCCCGAGAGAAAGGCCACTACCTATTCTGCAGTGGCTCAACCTGCAGATCCCTCTGCCCCTCAAACGCCTTCCTGGGCACAGGCACGCGTTTAAGTGTGGGTCCCTGCTCTCAGGGCTTCTGGCTCAAGCAGTCAGAAATTCCAGCTCGGCGCCTAACCTCACTATGCCCCACTGCACGTAAGGCCTCTTCCCTTGGTGCGACTCCATCTCCCAGCAAGAGGTCAGAGGGCTGGGAGACTGCCTTCAGGAGCCAGCACAATGAATGTCAACGCAGAAGTAAGGTCAAAGAGGGGACGAGATTTCTCCAAGGTCGCTTAGAAAGCCAGGGCTTAGTCCCAGGTCCCTGGCTCCGCCTCTGTCCCTTACTGAAAACCAGAAGGGAGACCGACCCCGAGGGCTGCCTGGCAGTGACTGAGAGCCGGGATGCCAAGCCAAAGCTCTGTCTTAAGCATCCAGAGTCCAGACAAGGGCACTTGGTTGGCCTCCCCAGAGCCACGGAATACAGGGAAGAGGGCTGGGCCTCGTGGCCTACTGGCTCTAAGGACCAAGCTGAGGGCACGGAGGGGCCGGGAGGAAGCATCAAGCGTCAGTCATAGATGAAAGCAAACTTTGTTGCTGGTCTTGGAATGCTATCTGGAGAAGCAGACTCCCTTCTGCAGGCCCAGCCATTTCCAGAAAAGACTTGGGCACAAAGTTACAGGCAATTAAATGGCACATTAACCATTCAGCGCTGGCAGCTGTTGCTGGGACGGTTTGCTCCACACCTGGGGGGGATGGGTGGGACACAGCAGGGGCCCCAGAGCACAACCCAGACCTGAGAACTCAGCAGGGCACCCTGCCCACCTGGCTTCTGGCCATAATCCCCCGCCCCAGCTGGGATTTGGACACCTGCTCCCAAGCATCTCAAAACATCCTCTCCAGTCTGCCAGGCTGCTGGGCTCTGGTCTGCAGTGGGATGAGTCTCCCAGCATTGCTGGGGACACCCACCAGCCGGCTGCTGGGCCCCCTAATCCTTGTTCATATAGTGAGCTCCACGCAGTCTGAGGGCACTCACACCAGAACCACAGATTAAAAATGCGAGTTCCTGGGCAGACCTATGAAAGCCCAGCCTGGGGATGTGCACTTGAATGCATTCTGAGACAACAGAGTGCGTGGGAACCACTGCCCCATAGCGTCCCCCGGCTGCCTTCTGCTGTCAGCCCCGGCAGCTGTTACAGCTGTGTGTGTGGACACGGTTAATCTGATTTCCTATCTGGCAGCTGTGCAGTAGAGAAGGGACAGCTGAGGGCCTCACAAACAAGAAGAGGGGATGAGGCGGGAGGGGCTGGGGGCAGAGGGAGGCTGCCTGTGTGGGAGGGGGCACTTAGTTGTTCCTGGGCCCCTGCCCCCAAGGGAAGAATCCTTGTAAGCCACGGAGTCCCAAGGACAGATAGAAAACAAAACAAAAATCAACACTGAAGCTCCCTGCCAATGAGTCCATTCTGAAGGCCCTGCAGGACAGGATAGAACTGCCCCTGTGGGTTTCCTAGACTGTAAAACTCTGTACAGGAGTAGAAAGCCTCCTCTGCCCCTTGTAGAGCAGCTGGTGACTTCAAACTGCTGACCTTGCTGCTAGCAGCCCCACACATAGCCACTACTACACCACCGGGGCTCCTTAGACAACAAAGCACCCCCTTAGGAACCAAAGGCTGAGCCCTTTTCTCTAGAAGCACAGACTTTGCTTGTAGAGGTTGCACGTGAGGTTGCACACTGCCCAAGGGCCCCCGTCTGAAGGGGCAACTGAGCCCACACGCCAGCTGCCAAGCCATGCCCCCTGACATGGTGCTGTGGCCACCTGGAAGAAAGGGCCCTTCAAAAAGTTGCGCAGAAAGAGCTCTGGCGCGGGCCAGTGGAGACCGGCACGGTCCAGTGTTCCGTAGGTTCCTTAACCTCACTGAGTCTTCTCATTGTGAGCGATGGCTACGCTTACCTTCCGGAGGAAAACAGCCGGGACTCTGGCCCCACCCCCTACCTTCCCGCAGTCCCACACCTCCACATAGCCAAGCGCTGACTGGTCTGGACCAGGACTGAGACAGTCCAGGGGAAACAGCAGGAGGGGCTTGGGGGGAGCCTTTATTCTTGGGGGCACCCCAGCTACAGCTGCTTCTCCTGCCCAAGCCTGGGGCATGGGCAGCCTGGAGGCAGGTTCCTGACCTCCACGGCATTTCCCGACACCCATAGCATCCCTTCCTGGCACAAGCAGGGCCACACCCCCTCCAACAGGGAAACGGACCGCCCCTCTGTGTCTTCCCATAACACCCTGCTCATCGTCCAAGCAGCAGCCTGACCCAGGCCAGGACGAGGGGGGGAATCTAGAGCCCACAGAGTGGAGGGCAGGGCTTCCAGAGCCCTGGGTCAGGTCCGTGGGGATCCCACAAGAGAGGAGGCGGAGTTCCCAGGCCCCACAAGGCGGCCCTGGTTGGCTGGTGCCAGCCCCGCTCGATGTCCATTGGGACGCTGGAGGGGGGTTACACAGAAACGACCCCCGTCCCTTGCCCCTGTCAATGATGACCTCTGATCACCACTAGAAGCTGCCATCTGTCTCCTTCCTCAGACTGGCTAAGGCTCTGGCTCACCCGCTGGGGCATCACACCATAATGGGCTATTCACCAGAGCGCCAAGCCCCAGAATAGAACCCAGGAATCCTGCCATCGGCTTGGCCACCAGCCGCCTCGTGCCATCCTTCATTCACCCATGTACCAGGCACGGTGTTAGGGTCTAGAAAGATAGCAGTGCACGAGACAGCCCAAAGAGCAAGGGACACCCCATACATAGAGCTCCAGAGACTCAGGCTGGCACCCACACCCTGGGGAGCCCCTTGCCCCAGGTCCCCCGGGCTGGGGAGACTTGTACTGGATACCACCCAGGGAGGCATCTCTGGACACCTGCTCCTTCAGCTTCAGGCTCTTGCATCCTGTCTGGAGAGGGATCAAGAGATGGGGAGGGGAGGTGGGGGGAGGGAAACACCAGGCTGCCGGGCCCTCACGGATGGACGTGTTGTTTATCTGGGGTGCTGGGTGTTTTTTTTTAACCCAAAGGTTAAAGCGTTTCTATTTGAAACATCTGTTTACATTCCAGAGTCCAAAAAAAAAACAACAACGCAGCCGAGCTCCAGGCCTATATCTGTCCCTAGCCACGTCACAGTCACAGCACCAGAGCTGTGCAGGGGGAACATTCTTAGCGCTGTCCCCGAGCTGCCGGGGTGACTCACACCTCCCTCCTGCCAACATGGACCATACCACCTCTCTCGGAGACCAGGCAGCTCCAGGAGAGGACAGGGGCCTGGAGAGGGCTGGCTGTGGGGGTCTGGGGATGGGTTGGCAGGCTGGGAAGATGAGGGAGGGGGGGGTGGGGGAGGTGGGGGTGTCCTAACTTGCAAAGCTTCTAGGGCCTAACCTGAAAAGGTGAGCAAATAGGCTGAGGAGGGAAATTAAGGCCAAGTGCCTACTGCTGCTCAGAGACGGGAGAGAAGAGGCCGAGCAGACCACTGCAGCATCTGCCTCTCAGGACAGGACAGCTCCCGGGCTCCGTATAGCCCAGGGCTATGCTCTCCAAAGGACCACATGGCGCTAAGACACAGGCAGGCAGGAGTAATGACCAGCCCAAGGTTTAAATCCCCTCCCAGAAGGGACATGCCCCCATCCAAGGGAAGTGTACAGGGCCAGCCCTCATCATGCCTCTACACCAGGAGACTGCAGGGGCGTCCCCACAGAGGCAGACGCAGGCTCCTTTCAAGGGTCTTCCCATTCTCGCCCACACCTGTGATCTCTGACCCGAGAACATGCCCGATCCAGCAACAGCCTTACCCCTGGTCATCTCAGAGCCAACTAGCAGCTACCCACAGAGACATGCAGCTCTCTCTTCTAATTTGAGGCCTGGGACCCACACCCACATACCCAGAGGCAAGGGCTACACACACACACACACACACACACACACACACTCCCACACCCACACGAGTGCCAGCCTACTGCCAGGAGGGGTTGAGCAGGCACAAGTCCAGCGGGTCCCTCCCTGGAGGAAGCATCTTGTGGTGCCGGCCTGGTGGGAAAGCTGTGCCAGGAAGGCCTGATGCTGCCAACAGGTTCCTGTAGGGGGGAGGGGAGTGGCCCAGCTCTGGGGGACCCCACCTTCCTGCTGAAAAGGTGGCAAGGCTGAGGGGCTTCACAAGCCTTTCAGGGGCAGAGGTACCTCTCCTCAGTAGATGGGAATACACTGATAAACCGGGGGTGGGGGGGAGGCTAAGGCGGCCAAGGGCCCCCAGCGTCCCAGCGGCCAACCCTTGGTCCAATTCAACCACGACTACGTGGAGCCTTCTCCTACTCGGTGCAGGGAGCCCTCTGACAGGGGGCTTGTGAAAGTGGCTGTACTTGATCCTCTGCCCCCCCTCCCCCCGGTACCCAGCAGGAGGGGCTTGGGGGGAGCCTTTATTCTTGGGGGCACCCCAGCTACAGCTGCTTCTCCTGCCCAAGCTTGGGGCATGGGCAGCCTGGAGGCAGGTTCCTGACCCACTTCCTCCCCTCTGACCACAGTGCCAAGTAGGCCAGGATGCTCTAGTAACCCCAGGCCCACACCAGGGAGGCTGTTCCCTGCAGGTCGGAGACACGCAGAGTGTGGCAGGGGGGCGTGGTGGGAGCAGAGGCTCTGGACCAGGAAGTGCCCCCTCCCTCCCCAAACCTCAGGTGTCTACCACCACACTGGAAGGAGGGCCCCCGTCTGGGCACGGCTAAGAGCCAGGAGCTTGGGCCCTGGGCTCGGAGCCAGGGAGGGTGGTCAGCAGAGAGCAGGTGGTGGAGGGGTGGGCAGGCAGGTACTTACCGGCCACGGGGATGCTGTGGAGAGCGGTCCGCGGCAGGATTTCCAAGGATGGCTCCCGGCCTGCTATTCCGTCTGCTGAGAAACAGGACTCCGTCTCATAGATGGTCTGCAGCATCTCCACCAGCCCCTGGGCCTTGGGCACCAGCAGCATGCCAGGGAGGGGGCCGCCTGAGGCGGGAGCCAGCCAGTGGGAAGTTGGTCGGCCAGGGGAGGTGGGGCGGGGGATCCTCCCTGCTCAGGGGGATCCCCTCAGGCCACGGCTGCTGGGATCCGAGGAGTGGGGAGGCGCCTCATCCGCCGGCCCGCTTGCTCCCTATGGCAGCAGCGGCGGGAGGAGCCGGAGGCTCGAGTTGCAGGCTGAGCTCCCCACCGCGCTGTCCCCTTGCTGCCTGGGCTGTGGAGTCACAGCACTGGGGACAGGCAGGAGGGCTCGGCCTGCCGGGCAGGCGGGCTCTGTGTTCCCTCCCCAAGCTGGGTGACAGCTCTGGGCCCGACTCCCTGCTCCTCCTTCCCGAATGAGCCGCCGGCAGCTGGCAGGAGACTGAAATAGCAGTTGGGGGAGGGCCTTGTCTATAAATAGGTGGAGCATGCTCAGGGAGCCGCCGGCCGGCTGCCAGGGCTCCTGGCCTGGCGGAGGCCCCATGGGGGAGGGGGAGGGGGAGGCGCGTTCCTCCCCAGGAGGAAGCGCCCAGCGAGGGGGATGGGAAGGGGAGGGCCTGCCTTCAGAGCCAAGGCCACAGGCACTGGATGGCCAGGGGCTGGGCCGGGGACAGGCACAAGCCCCAGGTCCCTGGGTCTCAGAACAGCTCTGGCCGCTGCTCTTGGCAAAGGCAGGACCAGAGACCAACAGGCCAGCTTCCATCCTGCCTTCCCTCCCCTCAGGCTGCCCAGAGTAAGTAAGGGAACAACACCGGGGAGGGCGGGAGTGAGTGGCAGACCGGGCCACCTGGCCTAACCTTGCACCTTCCCTAAAACCCTTACCACCTAGCCAGATGGGCCCCTGGTGAGCTTCTGCCACCCTGCACCCGCTACCAGCAGGGAGACCCCTGAGGCGCGAAGACAAGCGGCAGGCCAGCCTCCCCAACCCAGTCCGTGTCTCCCAGAGGTGCTCGGCTTCCTTCCAGCCGACAGAGAAACTCTTCCGGGGCAGGCCTCCATCGGTCCTGAGCTGGGAAGGGGACCATTCTCAAAGCACAGGGAGGGCGGGCTTCCCAGGCAAGGCAAGGCGGCGCCTTGTGAAGAGCACCCCGTGGCTCAGTTGGTCTGCCCGGCGGCCTCGCTCAGGGGGCAGAGGGAAAGGGAGGCACAGACTGGTACACAGCCCGTTGTCCTCTACGCAAAGGGCGCACGGATCTGCCCCAGGGGTCCCCTGAGCAGGCACGAGGACCCGACACCCACGCAGGAACAGACTTGAGGTTGGAGTCCCTGCAAGCATGGAAGAGTGGCGCGGCACCAGCATGCAGGCCCTCCCCACAGCCACCGGCCTCGTCCCCGAGCAGCCCCTGCTCCAGCCCCACTGCCCAGGAGCGGTGGGCAGGCGAGGTGCCGTGAGCACCTCTCCTGCTAGAGCTATGCCTCTCACTGGAGCAGAGATCGCACTTGGCCCCTGACTTCACTGGAGCCTTTTAATAGCCCGGTTATTCCTGGGTCTGTATCCCCCTCCCCCCCCTTCCTGATGTCACAGTTGCTATTTCTGAGCCCCTTCCCGGCCCCTCCTTGCCCCCTACTCCAGGCATGCAGCCAGGGACACCTGTCCTCTCCCTGGACTGGATGACCTCACGGGAGCCCAGGAGGGGCTGGCCAACCAAGGGCACGGGAGCCCATCTTCCCAGCAGGCTTCTGCCAGTCAGGGAGTGCTGTGAGCCTGCTGCCCTCTGATGCACACGGATAGGCTGGCAGGTAGGTGTGTATGTACCAGGCAGGAGGCAAAGGTGGGTGCTGGACCAGGAACTAAACAGCAGTCTGAAGCCTCAGTTTCTCAGGCAGAGAAGACTGGCAAGAAAGAGTGAGAGGGGCAGGGCTGGCCGCTGGCAGACATCTCAGGGTAGGAGGGCTGGGGGCCCTATTCACCACCCATGCCCCAGACCCAGCCTCAACCTCCTCCTGGCCAACCGGCTCCTCTCAAGAGGGAGGCCAAGGTCCCCACAGCTGGGTGATGGGCAGCCGACTCAAGAGAACACAGAAAGCCAGGGGCAGCGGTCCCTCCCTGCCCAGGACTCCACCCACTCCTGCCAAGAGCAACCGGAAGGGCTGGCTAGCCCTGTCCTGGCTCTCTCTGCCTGCCTCAGGCACAGAAGAGCCTGACTGGGAAGCCCTGTTCTGGAGGAGAGGGAATTGACCAGCTATCGTGGCTCAGAAGCTGAGCCCCCAGAACCTGGGGCGGCCAGAAGTCAAGGAGAGAGGCACTCCCTGCTTGGGGAAGACAGGGGTACTGGCAGCCTGGGCAGGCAGAAGCAGCCAGAATGAGGGGATCGGATCAGGGCAGCTCCTGGCACAGTTACCACTTCCAGTAACAGCATGAAGTGGGAAGTGAAGTGTCAGACACAGCCCAGCAAAATCCTCCTTGCAGTTCCCAGAATCCTCCGGGGGAACGAGGGAGAGAATCTGGGCTGAGGACAGCGGTGTTTTTTTCTTCTCCTGAGACTCGGCGATGCTGTAAGATCCTCCCCAGGCCTCATCTCGGTCCCTCCCCGTGGTCCGCGTCTCATCCCATAAGCCCTAGGGCTGACCCTTTGTCTACGCCAGCACCAACCTCCCCGGATGGCAATGACCTGGTCCTTTCCCTCTGAATCTAAAGCAAGAGCGAGAGCCCCAAGCTGACTCTAAGGACTCTCCCCAAGCTTCCTTTGCTGGACCCATCAGGCTGGACGAGGGCCCTTTCCTCGAGCCAACACTGCTTGGCCCACAGTACAAAGTCAAGGGCTAGCCCAGGGGCATCCCACCCTAAACCGAAGATTGGGTGCCAGCCTCCCGTCCTACGAGCCCCACCATCCTGTCAACATCGCCAGTGTGGGTGTTGGCTGAACCCTCCCGTTTGGAAGAAAACTGGGGAAACCTAAGTTGGCATCTTCCCCCTGCCTCCTCTAACCATCCCAAGTCTTCCATCCCTTTGGAATGATGGGGCGGGAAAGAAGTATGCGGGGTAGCTCTCAGTCTGTGCTGAGCACAGAGGCATGGGGGGTAGGGGACACGGGTCCACTTCCCAGACCGCTGGCCCACATCAGCACTGACCCACTTTCTCCTCCTCGGGGCTGGCTGGCTGTCTTCCCCAGGGGCTCTGAGGTAGAGCCCGGGGCTTGGAGGTAGTGCACGGAGGTTCCTGGCCCTGTCCCACGCCCATGCCCCAGTTTCTCTGGTCACCCAGCAGGGAGGGAGCAGATGCCCGCCCTCCCTCCTGGGAAAGGGCAGGAGAGAAAGTGCGGAGGGAGCTGGGCAGGCAGGTGTTGTCATGATGCTTGTCTGCCTCCCACGCGGGGGATAAGAAACCCAGCCGCCACCCAGACTGGCTTGCATGCCTGGCCCTCACTCTTGCCCTCGCCTCTGGGCAGCGACAGGGCAGGCAAAGGCCCCTGCTCCCAGGGCTGCTCCTTCAAGCTGGCTGGCCCAAGTCCAGCAGCGGGAAGCCCTGTCAATGGTCTAGCTCCGGGGGAACGTGCAGAAATGATCGGTTCCGGAAAAAGAAAGGAGCCTCAACCCTCCAGGCCACTTTTGCTTGAAGAGATGCTGGAGACCCAGAAGTCTCCCTAGGGGCAACGGATGGCCCCATTGAAGGCCTCTGCCTGGCCCCTGGGACGGTGGGGATGGCCAGATGATGTCCCAGAGCTCAGCACAGAGGTGCACAAGCAGGGCGAGAGTGCCCGCTGCTGGCCATGTAACTCTCTGGCTCACCCAGACCCACCTCTTCCTGGCTGGTCAGCTCTGGGGCCAGTCCCCTTCTGTTTCCCTCCAGAAATGTGCCCATGGCTTAGGGTCCTGATGATCCCCAGTGGGAACTTGACCCATGGAAGCACTCCCGCACATGAAGAGCTAAGGGAACCTGAGGGGCCGCCGAGCGCACCCTGCCTTCCCCAGCCTGGCTGCTCTATATACCAAGGCCCTGTGGCACTGAGGGTGGAAGGTGTTCAGGGCCAGGACGCCCAGGTCCCGCGGCCTAACCATTCCCAGCATCCCCCCCCTGGCCCAGCCTCTGCTTTGTGCCCATCTCCTTCCTTCCTTCCTGGGGTTCCAGGAGCTCTTGGCGGGGTGTCTGCCAAGGGAAAGGGACACCACCTGCTCAGGCTACCGCCACGGTTTCATTTGACTTCCTCAGGGCCCCACAGCACACGCGGCTTCTAGGCTCCTGCCAAGCACCGGGCACTGGCAGCCCCAGCCCAGATACCACCCTGTGCTCTGGGAATGACAGACCCTGGGTTTCTGGAAGAGGAAGGGCTTTGTGGAGACCGACTGCCTCCCTCACCAGGGGTGCCCAGAGCCCCACAGTGGGGAAAGTCAGCTCCAGAACCCTTAGGGAAATGGGGGGCCTCAGGGTGAAGCCCTCCTCCAGCCCCACCCCCAGCCATCCTAAGCCTGGCTTCTCAAGAGCCTCCAGTGAAGTTCCCAGACCCAGGGAAGACAGCATCTCCCCCTACTGGGAGGAGCTGGAAAACCAGCCAGGGAGGCTGACAGCATAGGCCCCCAGGGGGCTGCTGCACCTGCCTGCCCTGCTAAGGGCACCTCCAGCCTTAGCTGACCACTGAGGCTCCATGGGAAACTCAGACCCTTCGTGTCTGGAACGGCAACCTGGGGCCAGCAGCCCTCCAAGAACTTGTGAGACGTCCCCGTCCAGGCCTCCGCAATAAACTGGGTATCACAGCAAAGCGAGTCACGTGATTCTCTCTCCACCCCCGCCACCAGTTTCCCAGTGCATGTGAGAGTTATGCTAATGTTACGCTACAGTCAATTCCGTGTGCAACCAACGGCATTATGAAAACGTGGGAAATACTGTGGAAATGACCTGAGGCACAAAGGGAGAAAACTGCTGCGGGTAACACGGCCCCAGGCTGGCCCGATGCAGCCGCAGAACTTCCGTCGTTTAAAAAAATGTCATATTGACAGACAACAGAAACCATGGGGGAAGGGTAAGATGTGAAAATAATAGTAATTTATAATTCATCAAGGAGTCGCAGAGGGGCGGAGGAGCTGATACCAAGGGCTCAATAGAAAGTAAATGTCTAGGAAAGAATGATGGCAACATATGTATAAATATGCTTGATACAATTGATGTATGGGGGAACCGATTACATGGAACTGTGTGTGACCTCCTCCCTGGGGGACAGACAACCGAAAAGTGGATGAAGGGAGAAGTCGGACAGGGCAAGATATGACAAAATACCCATTTATAAACTATCAAGGACTCATGTGGGAGGGGGGAGCGGGGAGGGAGGGGAAAAATGAGGACCTAATGTCGGGGGTTTAAATGGAGAGAAAATGTTTTGAGAAATGATGTACAAATACGCTTTACACAATTGATGTGTGTATGGATTGGGATAACAGTTGTATGAGCCCCTAATAAAATGTTTAAAAAAAAGACAAAAACAAAAAAAACAATTGATGTATGGATTGTTATAAAAGTTGTAAGAGCCCCCGATAAAACGTTAAAAAGAAAATGCCACATCTTCAAAGTGTCCCCAAACAGAGCCCAACAAAGCAATGTGTGCCTGGAACCACATGATTTTCCTCTAAAATCCCAAGGCAAGGAAGTCACCAACTGTGCCTCTGGGACAAGCGCCTGTCCCCTTGGCCAAGGGACAGTCCTCACCGCAGTATCAAGCAGGGGCCAGAGGTGGCTTCAGGACAGTTCAGCAGCAGCCCCGCCAGAGCACGCAGGGTCCATGGTGAAGGGCTACGGGGCTGAGGGAAAGCCCCCAGAGGCCTTTCCTTTCCCTTGGCCACTCCAGCCCAAGAGGGGAAGCAGGAAGGCAGGTCTCCTATGTTTGGCCCACCTTGCCCCCTGAGCAGCACACACTCTTCCATGGGTCCCACCCAGCACAGCCCCTCCAGCCTGGAGGACCCCACAGGGGGCACTCAGCAGGCCAAGCTGCCTCCAGCTGGTTCTCTCCGGTCTCCGTACCCAGGGTGTGTTTGGTTGCAGAAGGAAAAGGGGGGCACGGCCTTGACCACACTAGACGGCACACAGTTAGTCAGTCCACGCCCCCCTTTCCTTTGTCTGCCAGAACCCCTAGCACTGGGGGGTCGGCTTCTCCCATACATTGCCAGGGTGGGGAACCTCACAATAGATGGTCTCAAGAAATAGAGGAAAGAACTAGGAGGCAAAGGGCATTTCTAGAGGTCTACATACAGGCATGTACATAAGTAAATGTATTTATATATGGCGATGGGGAATTAGATCTATGTGCATATATTTATAGGTTTAGTATTAAGGTAGCAGATGACAAGGATCAACCTAGAGTCCCCTCCCAGAGGGAGAAATAATGGGAAAGTGGGCGAGGGGCAACGGAGAACGATGTAAGAATGGAAGAATAATCTATAACTTATCAAGGGTTCGTGAAGGAGGGCAGGCAGGGGGAGGGAGGGGGAAGAAACGGGGAGCGGATATCAGGGGCTCAAGTGGGAAGAGAATGCTTTGAAAATGATGATGGTGCCATATGTGCAAATGTGCTTGACACACTGGAGGACTGTATGGATTGTGATAAGAGGTGTAAGAGCCCCCAATAAAAGTATTAAAAAAAAGTAGCAGATGGACATTGGACCACCACTTAGGCTTTCCCTCAACGCAAGAACACTTACTTGTTCTATTAACCTGGCATTCCATGATGCTCACCTTCCCGACATGATCACTGAAGACAAAGCGGGTGCATA